TCCCCAATAAACCCAGTCCACACACCCAGCACACAGTTAAGTTCCAACACCACTGCAAGGTTAGAGGCACCGTAGAGCCTGAATTGCTTAATAACCTCATCACACTCTCACCTCTGCCATCTGAAGCTTGAGTCCTCTTGCCACCTACTATGCTGGATTGATAACTGACAACACAGGGACTGGGCTGCCCAAGGAGGCTCTGCCTTTCGACCAACCAGTCTGCACCCATCAAAAGTGCTTGGGGGTGAGCACTGGGCAGGGGTCAGGAGGCTGCTGTCCTGAGCTCTAGCTCTGGGTCTGTGGTTATCTGCTGAGTGATCGTGACACATCCGCCTTTGGTTGGGGACCCCTTTGATCTTTGCTACCACTGGATGAGGTCAGTTTGCTGGTCTTCCTTAGTGGCTACCCAAGGCCTGGGATTGGCCTCTGCCTTAACAGAAAACAGGCGTAGAGCCTCTGGGAGGGCCACAGGTTTGCCTCAATGCAGAGCTTTGCCTTATGATGCTCTGGTGTCTGATGTCTTGGAGGGACTCTCCCACTGATGGGCCTGACCTCATGGCCTCATGCCTCCTCTGACCTCTGTTGTCTCTCAGTCTTTATCCTGCCTCCTCAAATTCCTAGCATTCTGTCCTCTCTGACCTTGGGCAATGACACCCCTTACTGTCCTTCTCTGTCAGTCCCAGAATAGGCCTGGTGGCCACATTCCATTGCAGGTATTTTGCTGTGGCATGACAATATGACCCAAACTTCCAAGCCATTTAACAGATTCCACAGCACTGTGAGAGGATGGTAGGGCCAAGGCCTCCAGACTAAGGTTGGTTTGTGGGCCCTTGGGTTGATTGGACCTGCCTAGGAGAATGGCCTGAGCTGTGGCTGTCTAAGATGGGAGAACAGGGCCTAAGAGCTGTTCAGAAGGACCTCCGGCCATGGGTTAGCATAACTAGATCTTCCGAGTGGTGTGTGTCCAATCTGAGTCTAACCTATAAGACAACCTGGAGTCCTCACACAGCCAGGCTAAGCACTGGGGAGGAGGGTGTGACCAGTCTCACCCAATGCTGATGCCACAGGTTAATTAGGGACAAAGTCAGGCTCTCTGCTGTGGCTGCCACCACCCAATGGCTTAGGACCCCTTTGCATTGCTGGGCCCTCCATTAGAGTCTTGCCCTCTCCCCTCCCCTCTTATATCCTTTCTTAGAATGTCCCATGGGCAGCAACATCTTTGGGGTCTTGAGAGCAATAGAAATGATGTGACTGTTGGCATGAGGATGTACAAGGGCCCCATGTACCCACAGGTACATGTACACAGATTATCTTGAGGGACATATCACACCATGTATAAACATGGTAGCTGAGACAAGGTGAAAGAATCATGAGTTTGAACCCTGGCTCTGTCACTTACTGAGTGTATTAGTTTCCTTCAGCTGCTGTAACAAAGTACCACAAACTTAGTAGCTTAAAACAACAGAAACTCATTCTCTCACAGTTCTGGTGTCCAGAAGTCCAAAATCAAGGTGCCAGCAGGTCCACACTCCCTCTTGAGACTTTAGGGGGGGATCTTTCATTTCCTCTTCCAGCTTCTGGTGGCTCCAGGTATTCCTTGGCTTGTGGCTGTGTTACTCCAATCTTTGCCTCCATCGTTCACGGCCTTCTTCTCTCTGTGTGTCTCTCATCTGCATGTCTCATAAGGACACTTGCTATTGGATTTAGGTGCCACCCAGATAATACAGAATGATCTCATCTTGAGATAATTAAATCTACAAAGACCTTTTCCAAATAAAGTCACATTCCCAAGTTGTAGGGGTTAGGATGTAGACATACATTATTGGGGGACACCATTCAACCCACTATGCTGAGTGACCTTGGAAATAAATGTCACTTGGCCTCTCTGAGCCTTAATCCCCACATCTATAAGATAGGGATAGTAATTCCTATGTCACAAAGTTATTAAGAAAATTAAAGTGAAAGCATTTGTCACATAGTAGATGCTCTATAAATGCACATTTTTAGTTATGCAGACTCCAACTCTGTGAAGCTAACAGTTCTCAGTTACAAATCCCTTGGCCGTGCATACCACTGCCCATCTCTAGGATGTCTCCTTTTGCCTGCCCTGGTCTTCCTTCTCTGTCTCTCTGACCTGTGTTCTCTACCTGGTTGCACAATATCTTCCTTAGATGTCTTCAGGCCAGACTGGCTTTCCCTTTGTCCCTAGGACCATGAAGGAACCAGCAGTTAGCATCTAGTTCCTTCACTGACCACAAGGGAAGAGCTTATAAGTTGAAAGACCTGGATCCTAGAGCCAGCTCTACCACCAACTGGCTGTGTGACCTTAGCCAAGAGTCTTAACTTCTCTGAGCCCCAGGTTCTTCATCGGAAAACAAATCTGATGATGCATGCCTTGTCAGCCTAGCCCAGCCTCATGTGAAGATCATCTGACATAATGTAGGTGCCAGGAACTGTAATCTGTAAAGTGCTCCATGAGTGGAGGGTCTTAATTATCACTCTCAGCTTAGGCTGAGGGGCATGGTCTCTGAGTCCAGCTACTCGCTCCTACAGAAAAAGCCAGCTCAGTCCCCCTTCTTTCTCAGGGTTACCTTCTCTGCTTCCCCATCACCTGTTTGGAACCTCGCTTCTGATCTATTACCCAGGTTAAAGTCTGAGGCTGCTCCCTCTCCTGGCAAGGGCTGGCTCACTCTGCCAGTCGTCTCATCAATCAGCCTGGTCATGAGTGGAGGTTGTGTAGAATGGAGACTCATGACCACAGATGTCGCATCCCGGCACTCAGTCCCCCTCCCTGTTCCGGGACTAGCTGGTACTGTCAGGATCAGCTTGACTCCGAGGAGAGAGGCCCATTGTGCTGTGTTGGGAGGGACGTGGAAGGGGCCTCTGGCTCCAAAGCACAACAGGAGCCGACCCCGAAGACGCCACAGAGAACAGAGCACTGGAAGGCCAGTTGACCTGGCTTCAGATCTCCGCTCTTTTACTTTCTAACTGATTGACCCTGAGCATGTCACACGAACTCTCTGAGCCTCAGTTTCTCACCTGCAAATGGGGACGACAGTCCTTCCTTGCAGGGCTGGTGAGGACCACAGGTGATGACTCTGAAGCAGTGCATGGCACGTGGTAGCTACTCTGATGAAAAAGGCAGAGGAAGGGAAACTACACTTACTAAGCACCTCATTTTTGCTGGATGCTGTAACATGCTTTTCTCATTTAATTTGTACAACTCTGTGTGGAATTAAGCACAGGTTAGACACGTAAAGTGACTGGGGACAGCCAGTAAGAGAGGTGGCGTCTGTTTGACTCCACACTGGTCTAGCCCTAAAGCTGGAGCTGAGCCCACGGCTCCCATGGGCTCCCTGCCCATCCCAGCCAGTGTGGACTCTGGTCCGCAGAAGGAAAAACACCTCGTTAAGGAAGAAAAGCCTTCTAAGTCAGCCTCCAAGTCCCTTCACCTCGTGAGGATGCAGACAGTGGAGCTGTTGGCTCATGCCACCCCTCGCTGGCACAGTGACTGCTGAGGGCAACTGTATCAGGGTTCTTCAGGGAATCCACCGATAAGGTATTTATAGATATATAGGAGAGGTTTATTATGACAGTTGACTCATGCAATTATGAAGGCTGAGAAGTCCCACGATCAGCCACCTGCAAGCTGCAGGCCCAGGAAAGTTGGTGCTGGAGTTCCAGTCTGAATCCGTAGGCCTGAGAACCAGGAGCTCCCATGTCTGAAGGCAGGAGAAGATGGGTGTCCCAACTCAAGCAGAGAGAGCAAATTTGCCTCCTCTGCCTTTTTATTCTATTAGGGCCCTCAACTGATTGGATGGTGCCCACCCATATTGCTGAGGGTGACCTTTACTGTCTATTGACTCAAATGCTAATCTCTTTTGGACAGACACACTCAGAAATAACGTTTTACCAGCTACGTGGGCATCCCTTAGCCCAGTCAAGTTGACACCTGACTTAACCATCACAGTGGCCACAGATCGAGTGGTCCCCACGACAGATGCTCACTGCAGGTCATTCCTCTCTGTTGGATAGCAGCCTTCAGTGGAGCCCCATTGCCCATTGTCCCCCAGACACTCCCTAATCTGCTCCCTCCCTGCCTCTCCTGTTTTACCTCCCCCTCCTCTTTCACTTTCTGGTCCAACATCAACCAGCTTGAGATCCCCATAGACTCTGAGCTTTCTTACCCCCAACCCTTGCACGTGCTGCTCTCTTGGCAGAATGCCCTCCCTGCTGTCTCCTGCCTAATTCCAACTCATCATTGAAGTCTCAGTTCAGGTGCTGCTAACACCGTGGGGCCCTCCCTGGCTCCCTAGGCCCCATGATGGATATGGAGCCCTATCTCTGTTCTCCCACTGTAATCCTGCATACTGATGTCTGTCTCTGCACTAAACACATGATGACATCATTCCTTAATAATGCTCATCTCTTCTCATAGTCCAGGGTTGTCTTAAACGGCGCCAAGGAGTGCTTAGGACAGTGGTTCTTGGGGGGGAGAAGGAAGGGAGTGTGGAGGCATCTGAAGAGGTATTTTGACACCCTCTGTCCAGTTTCCTCTCACCCCATATCAGAATGGGCTGAGTGAGAAGGGCTGGGGTGGGTGTAGGGAGAAATTCAGGATACACAGCTATTTTGTGAACATCTCCCAGGTGATTCTGACTTAGGATTTGTCTCTCGCCCTAACCCTTGCTTTGGGCCAGGCCACTGAGCTGCACAGGGAGCCATTACCCCTGATCCATACAGTTTTGGAAAACCCATGTTTGCCCACGCAGTGGGCTTGGGACCAGGAAATCAATTACGAAACTATCATTAGCATATGGAAATTGAGCTTGATTGGGGTGGTGCGGAAGAGGGGGTTGGCGTTTGGAAATGGAGAGCTGGTGTGGAGAGCGGCTGGAGGTGGGAGCAGACGAGGTACCTCCTGGGATTCCCTCCCCGGTTGTGTAAAGACCTTCCTTAGAGAATAACCTGTCAGGGGTAAAATACTCTCTTTTCCTCAGATTTGTGACAGTGTCCTGTGCTGTGACAGACCTACTCTGTGACTTTTAGTTGGATTCATCTCTCACATTCCAGAAAACATGACCCTTGCTGGTAGGTACAAAAATTGTTTATGTGATGGGCACCATGGCCTAGGGTGTTTCTGTACACTCATAATGTACTTACAGATGCACAGAAAAAGAGAAAAAACAGACAGGAAATAAACCCGAGGGTTAAGAGAAGTTATCACTAGATGGCGAGTGGGATCACAGCTAAGCTTTGCTTCCTTGTGTTCATCTGTGTGTGTTCTTAAAAAGTTTTTACAATGCACATGTATTATTTTTGCAGTTCATTATGTTTTCAATCTGTAAAAGCACATGACGGGGGAGCACCGGGCACTGAGCACCGGGGTTAGCTGAGTGCTGAGGGAGCCTGAGCTTGAAACAAGATGCGCTGGCCCCAGGGCGGTGCGGCAGCCACGCCGGGAGCAGGGAGCGCTCGCTAGGGCCAGGGCTGGGGTGGGCTGGACGTCAGCACAGCAGCTCTAACCCATGCTCTCCAGACACAGACTAGATGCTGGGGGGTGGGGCTACCACTCCAGGCCTCACAGACACCAGCCCCTCTGGCTTCGACCCTGTGCTGGGACGGTCAGGGGAGGCTCACAGCCTGATCTGGCCACCCCGTGAGAGGCAAGACCAGAGGGACGGTGGTGAGCTTCTTCACCCTTCAGGGAAGCACTGCCAAGTACTTTGAGTAAAATGGAGTGTAGATTTCCTGCACCCTGGAGCATAAGAAATGGACTATCCTGGGCAAGTGTGGGGAGACAGAGAGCTGGGTCCAGGGCACGAGGCTGGGGCAAAGGCGCTGATGCTAGGGGTCTTTACCTGAGGGCATTTTACACTCAGTACTACAAAGGGGAATGATGTACTGGGGGAAAGATGGTGTCACCTGGATGCTCTAGAAGGCTCAGGTTCTAATAGGAGGGCAGAATTGTGTCCGAATCACATACAGGAATCCAAAACAGGGCTGCCTGGGGCAAAGTGGGCTGGATCCGCAGCCAGGGGTGGGCCTGGGTGGTTCGGGTGCCTCTGTGGAGCCCAGTGACCCCTGACTGCTCAGCCGCCCAGACTCGCAAGGATGCTGGCTTCTGAGTCTAGGAGGGGTGGCCATCTTCATGTGCCGGGTGTTTCCGCAGCCTACAAAGAGAAGATGAAGGAGCTCCCACTCGTGTCCTTGTTCTGCTCCTGTTTCCTGGCCGACCCCCTGAATAAGTCATCTTATAAATATGAAGGTAAGTGAGGGCCACAGTTGGGAGAGTAACGGGTGGAGGGTTCCTGCGGTTTGTATCCATGAGCACAGCGCCCCCTACCCCAATTCCCTGAAACTCTCCTCCCCAATCACCTTTCTTTTCCCAGAGTCAGTAAAATCACCCGGCTGATTCTGAGGGTCTAAGCCCCCTGTGAAGGCAGGTGTCAGGCTGCGGCCTGGGCACCAGACAGCAGTTGAAGGTCTGATTCAGACACTCTGCGGAGTGCTCTTGATCTCAGCTGTTATTTATTTGTTTAACAAATGGATGCTGTGGAGGGTGCAGAGGTGAAGCAGACAGAGATTCTGTCTTCAGGGAACATCTAGACTAGAAGAGAAGACAAAATGTGGTATAAATCACTAGATTCCACGGTCACCAGGTCTCCTCAGTGAAGGGTAGAGAATGTTCTGGGAGAGTCCAGAGGTGGGAAGAAGACTTCCACCTGTGGCCACCCAAGGAGGCTCTGTGATAGCCATGCTGCCTGGGACCTGCGACAGGGTCCCAGGACACCATGTCCCAAGAAGCTGGCAGGGAGCACTGAATGGCCATGTCCTGATAGGGGGGTCGGGTAACATGTCACCTCTCAATTTCTTGGAGGTTAAAAGGAAGGGACGGGTTTGGTCTGGAAATGAGAGGTGGGAGTGCTCGGGTTGCCTGAGATTGTTTTTTCTGTTTAGGCTGGTGTGGGAGACAGTGTAGGAGAAAAGATCAAAGCCAGCGGAAAGACAGTGCTGACTGGAGAGAAAGAAGAGAGCAGGGTAGGAGGGAGCAGGGGAGAGGTGTCAACAGGCCGAGCCATCAGATTCGTGGAGGGCTGAGGAGCGGAGGGGTGGTGGGTGGTGGGTAAATGCACCCTGCTGGCCACCAGAGATGACAGTTCCAGCAAGAGCTCATCTATGGGAGGAGGCTTGTGGCAGCAGCAAAAGCAGAAGCAGTTGCTCAGCCGTTATTATACCTCAGATATCCTGAGACCCCCGTTCCTGGAGCCTGAGACCTTACTGTGGCTACCAGCTCCTCCAGCTCCAGCAGAACCCATGACCTTAGTTGCCATGCCCAGGACAGACCCAGAGCCCTAGCCATTGGTTTGCCTTGGGGACCCCAGACCTCCCACGTGTGTATGCATGTGTGCATGCTTTGTGGGTGCCCATGCAGTCCTCAGGGGGTGAGCGGCCCCTTTTCTGCTCTCTGCAGCAGACACGGTGGACCTGAACTGGTGTGTAATTTCCGACATGGAAGTCATTGAGCTGAACAAATGCACCTCGGGCCAGTCTTTTGAAGTCATCCTGAAGCCGCCCTCCTTTGATGGGGTGCCCGAGTTCAATGCCTCCCTACCCAGGCGGCGAGACCCATCCCTGGAAGAGATCCAGAAGAAACTAGAAGCAGCTGAGGAGCGAAGGAAGGTAAGTGCTGTCCTTTCTTCCCTCTATCTCAGTATGACGGCGAGGGAGTTGGAGAAGACAGGTGGTGGCCCTGAGCTGGGGTCAGGTCACCACCAACCTACAAATATTTAGGCAGCACCTCCCAAGTGCAGGGCAGAGAATGAGGCACCATTGAGGGAAACAAAGTTAAGTCCCTAGTCTCTAGGAGCTTACAGTTTGGCTAGGGGATAAGGCACTGCATTACATACCTCCAAGAGGTGGCCCTACATGCACAGTGACAGGGATAAGACATTGACAAACACTAAGGATTAGGGAAAGTCTCGACAATTAAGGAAAGGGCTCCTTAATTGGGGGAGGGGCAAGAAGGTCGTGGTGTGGGCTGTTTCCACCCCCTGGCATGCCTTCCAGGTTTCCTATTGATTCTTTGATGCCATCTTTGTGTAAACTTTTCTTCATCTTTCAAGCAGAAAATAATCTTCTCCTCCCTTGAATTCCTAGAGCACTTCCTCTCTACCTCTTAAGGCATATGTCACGTGCTGGTCTGGATCAGAGTTATTTATATATGTCTTATCTCTACTAGACTTTTTTCTTTCCCAAGTTGCTAGAATAGTGCCTGGCACATAGTATATGGTCATTTAGTATTTGTGAATGAATGAATGAATGCCTGATGGCAGTGAGAAAAAGGGAACTGGGGGTATGATGGGAGAATCCAGGAAGGATCCTTGCTTCCTGCCAATGGGTCAGGGACCAGGCTCAGGAAGGCATGTGTTCTGGGTGTGGAGCTCTTAAGTCATGATGATAAAAATACACCCTGGCATGCTCACCTGTAAGGACCTCTTTCCCTCTTTGTGCTTCCCTAGTACCAAGAAGCTGAGCTCCTGAAGCACCTGGCGGAGAAACGAGAACACGAGCGGGAGGTGATCCAAAAAGCCATTGAGGAAAACAACAACTTCATCAAGATGGCTAAGGAAAAACTGGCCCAGAAGATGGAATCCAATAAGGAGAACCGGGAGGCCCACCTTGCCGCCATGTTGGAACGGCTGCAAGAGAAGGTAGGTGGTCTCGGATCGGAGAGGAGACTCCTGGGACACCCTCTTCCTTTCATGGCAAGTATAATGGGCCTATATATCATTTCAGGGAGCAAGGAGCCTCGGGCAGGAAAGGGGATATATCTGTTAGGCCTGATCCTTAGAGAGTTCCAAAGGATGATTTGGGAAGTCATAGGCAAGAAACATGAACTGAGCTTTGGAATTCCTTGGGGGACGTGCTGCACAGCTACACAATGGAAATTTCTCATTGTATTAGGGTATTGAGACCTCTTATCTCCTAGAGAAAGCCTGCCTAATGCAAGGGAGTAGGGAGAGGCAAGCAGTTGTACATTCCTGGCATCATCCTTGAACAGACTGATTGGATTTAATGAAAGATGATGATTTGAGCTCTTGGCTCTAAGCCAAGGGCATGATGAGCCAAGTTGCCCATTGAGCATGAAACATGATTCTCTCCAAACTTCTTGATATAGACTGAGTGAGTCTCGGGTCTTTCCAATATGCTACCTTTGGTCAGTAAACCAAATGGTGTCACCTAAATAAGAGAAACGTGAGAGACTGGGGTTGGTCTCATGTGTCAGCAGAATAACAACAGCCCATCCTGCCGAGAACATGCTGGCCTCATTTCCTGAGCCTCAAGGCTGCCCCAGTTTCTCCTGCAGCTCCTGGGAGAGCTCCAGCTCTGTGTTTTATTTCCAGGAGCCGCCTGCTGCGCGGTGACTCCCGGGACCCGATCGGTGGCCTCATCCCATGGTGAGCAGCGTGGTCCCCGCTCCTTCCTGCCCATCCATCTAGAGTCTCAGGCCCTTGGCCACAGCTGATAGAAAGATCTGGTTTCTTCACAAGGGATCTGGATGTTATGTAGGCCCTGCAGCTGGCCAGCATGTGGCAGCCCCTCTGCTCTTATACCCACTCCATCCTTCTAGGGGCAGCACGGCCTCCACCAAGTATCAGATGGGAGGGAAGTGTTCTGGGTCTGATTTCAGGCTTTGCCAATTATTGAGGGATGACTTGGAGCAAATTCTTGCAGAAAAAAATCTGGGGTTGGGATAGGATGGGGCATGGGCCCTCAGGCCATACCCAAAGCAGATAATTGCAGCTAGAGCCATGATATGGTATTTGAAAGACTGCAGAACACTTTGATTTCCTCATACCCTTATCCTCACAACAAGTCCATGAGGTAAGTAGCACAGGTGTTATCTTTATGTTACTGATGAAGAAACTGTGTCAGAGAAGGTCAAATGACTTGCCCAGGGTCACACAGCTACTAAGTGGTAGAGCTTGGACTAGAACCCAGTTCTTTGGCTATGAGTCCAGGTGGCTTTTTCAACGCCTGTCTCAGGGAGATCAGCCCACAACCATCCTGCCAGCGTTTTGTCAGAGAGGGGCTACTGGAGGCCAAGGAAAGGGATTCCAGAATCCTAGGGGTCTGCCCAGTGAGCTCACCTGGGAATGGAGGTAGATTCTGAGGTGGGGAGATTGGAAGGCCTGCACTCTGGAGTAATAGCTTTGCAGGTGAGGTGAGTCTCAAAGAAGCAAGATGTCATAGCAGACATTTGAGTGGGCCTCATTCCCCTGGGATCTTGATCCCTATTCACCCTTGCCCAGGGGTGAAGTCAAGAGGTGGAATGAGAGATAGGTGTGTGGTTTCTGCCCTGCCCCAGGCCAGGGACACCTTCAACAGTGCCTTCTGTGTCAGTGTTTGTATGGGTCACTGACCATCTGCACCAGACTCACCTGGTATAAAGTTTAAAACTACAGATACTTGGACCTTACCCCAGACCTACTAACCCAGCTCTCTAGGGATGGTGCCTGAGGACCTGCAATTTAATGAGCTTCCTAGGTCATGCTGATTCGTAGCAAGGTTGAGAACCACTGCCCTACAAACACCACTCCCCACACTCTCCCCAGGGCCATGGAAAGTTCTAAGGCCTCTCCAGGGACAGATTTGTAGTTCAAGGTATATCCTGGAACCTGGACTGCCTCAGTGGGTCTACACCAGGCTGATTCTTGATATCTGGATGTGATGATGCCAGAGTCTGGCAGAATATTTACTGAACACCTGCCCTGTGGAAGGTGCCACAGTAGCAAGTGCAAGACAGAAAGAAGAAAAAGGCATGGTCCCTGTCCACAAGGAAGTCCCCGTCCGATAGAGCACCCAGATACATGCACAGTGAGCAGGGAAGTAAGGCAGACTGTGATGAGCCCTAGAGGGGAACACTGAAACTACAGAATTCTAGAGGGAAAACAGCTTCCCATCCATACCTCTCTCTCTAAGACCAGAGAACTGAGGCCTGATGGGTGAAGTGAGCTCACTAAGGCCACACAGCTGGTGGGCCTTGGAAGTCATTTCCCATCTTTTGGCTTGATTACGCTGTGAAACAGAAGAGAGCCCCCTTACAACACTTGTAAGAAAGTCCACTTTTTGGAGTTGGATAACATTTCCAAAAACTCTTGAGTCAATTTAAACTTTAAGAGCCGTCATCTTTCACCAGGGGGGTTAAGATGACTTTCGCTAAGGAGATGGACAAGAAAGAAAAGCAGCAGTCAGGTTGCGTGTGTGTGTGTGTGTGTGTAGGGGACACCTACAACGAGGCCTGGCTGTTCTACCTGCTCCTCTAGCAGCTACGCTAAGCTGCCCCTTACATGAACTCCAGCAGCATATTCAGTTCAAACGCCAGGATGGCTAGGGGAGGGAGGGAGAGGCCGGTGGGCCCTGAGGTCGCCGTGAGGGGGGTCCCCACAGGAGGTTGGCCCCAGTCTGTGAGCTCCCTGGGGCCGCACCACAGGCCCACACACCTGCCTCCTGCAGGTCTCACCTGCCACCTTCTACCCCTTCCCAGGAGCCTTTGCAGACCCTGCTCTTCACTTCCTGTGACAGCCATTCTTTGCTTTGGTTCTCTTAACCCTCATCCTCCCTTTTCCCCCGGGAAACCTTGTGTGACCTGCCCTTTTCCCTCCTTTCCCTCCCAGGACAAGCACGCGGAGGAGGTGCGGAAAAACAAGGAGCTGAAGGAAGAGGCCTCCAGGTAAAGCCCAGAGGCCAAAGAAGTTTCCAGAACAGCCGGACAGCTCCAGCAGCTCCGCAGTTCCCGAGGCAGCCTCGTCCGCCGCGGCTGCTCTCCCAGCACTGGGGTTTGGGGGGAGGGGGGTGGCCAGGGGCGTTTCCTCTGCTTTTGGTGTTTGTACATGTAAAGAATTGACCAGCAAAGCCATCCTATTTGTTTCTGGGGAACAATGATGGGGTGGGAGAGGGGAGAGAAGGAGAGAGGTTGGGAAGGGGAGATGGAGAAGGACTCATGGACATTGCAACCCAGCCCACCGCAGACTCAGGGCGTCTTCGGCTTTTCTTCACAGTGAGCGTCCAGGCCCCGTGTTGAGGGGAGGTGAAAACGGGGCAGTAGAATTCCAGTGAAGGGCAGAGGCCTGGGGGGCGGTGGCTGCAGGGCGTGGCAGGAGAAGCCCAGGACGGGGTGGGGCCCGGAGGTGCTGCTTCCGCCCTGCGCCAGGCGGGAGGAGGTCCCAGTGTGTGTGTGTTAAACATCATCTTTTGATCATCATGACCAATGAAACATTTACTCCAAGTCTCCAGTCCTTTATTGCCTGAATTTGTCCTTTGGTTGATTGATCGAATGTTCTTGAATTTGGCTTCCACGCCGGTGGCACATGCCCCTTGTTTTTTAGTCTGACCGCCAGAGCATCTGAGGTGCTAGGTGAGGTGGGTTGAAACATGCCAGCCTTTGGCGTAGTTTGCTTTTGCTTTTTCTTCTCTTTTTTAAAACCCTTTGTGGGTTGTCCTTTATTGGATTCAGTGCACTGGATTATTGAGAAAATAAATCCAATCTTCCTTTCCATGGATTGACATTCTAATACGGTCCCCAGTATGCGTAGTAAAAAGGAAGTCCTCCCTGCTTTGGGGCCATGGGATTCCAGGTGGTCACAAAAAGCGAGTGAGGAAATAAAATATTTGCTAGTAGAAAGCAGAGAGGGTCATTTCAGACCCAGTTGTCACCTTCTCCAGAACAGAGTCATGACTGGGAAAGGAGTCTCCCTCTGCCTCTCCCCTGCAGCAGGAGTTGGGGGGCAGTCTGTGTGGACAGGGTCCCAGGGCATCTCCGCACCCTGCTCCACACACTGTGAGTTTTGTACAGATTTGTAAATAAACCGTTTGGTATTGCCTTCTCCCCCTCCCCGCCAGTGGTACTGCAGTTTAGCTTCATTTTAGAATGAGATAGCAGGAAGGATCAGAGATGATGATGATGATGATGATGATAGTAGTAATAATAATAATAATAATAATAATGGCATCTAACACTTGGCACTTACTAGATGCCTGGCTGTTTTCTGGGCTTTTATATATATATTATCTCACTTAATACCTACAACAACCCTGCACGGTAGGTCCTTTTATTATCCCATTTTGCAGACAAGGAAACTGAGTTATAAATTTGCCCAAGGCCACACAGATAATAAGTAGGGGAACAGGGACTTGAATTCTGGCAGTTTGCTCCCAGAGTCCGAGTTCTTAGCCACTGCACTATGCTGCTTCTCCACATTCCAAACTAGGATACAAGTCCTAGGATAGTGTTTCTCAAACTGTGAGTTGTGACTCATTGGCGTGTGAGATCAACTTAGTGGGTGCCACCCAACTTTAATTTTTTAAAAATGGGCTAGAATAGAAAACAAAATATCAAAGTGATCACAGGCAATAATGCAGGTATTGTTCTATGAAAATTGTGTTTCAATTTTATATTTGAGTATGTATATTCTAGGTCAGTATGAAATGTCTTTCTTACTGGGGGTTGTAGTCACTTTGAAAGTCACTGCCCTGGAATGAACGTGGTGACCAGAGCTCCAGCCCCAGGGGAGCAGCACAGAAGCTGCTGTGCTTGAGAAAATGAGAGGCTGTGGCCATGCCATCCAGAACTGCCTGCTTCTGAGAAAAAAGGAGACAAGAGTGGCCTCAAAGGTATATTCTCACAAATTTACCCCACCAGCATCTCTGTCCTCCCATTGGAATACCCAAGACCAGGAGGAAGGTCCATTCCCACCACTCTCTTCGACCAAGGAGGAAGGTCCATTCCCACCACTCTCATTGACCAAACGCCTGCAGTTACCATTCATCCCCTGATAAACCACATCGACTCATACCTTCATCCTTTGCACATGCGGTGCCCTCGCGTGGGTTGCTTTTCCCTGCCTGGTTGAGTTAATTCTTACACATTCTTTTAAACTCAGCTCAGATATTAAGTGCCCTGACTCCGTCGTACCTCTTACGTGCTCTGATTACTGTGAAACTGTTTACCTATCTTTCTCCTCTATTAGGCTTGAAGGTCTTGAAAATAGAAACCAGTTTTACTAATCTTTGTGTCCCAGGCAGTGGTGTCTCCAGAGTCCCTGCATTGGATGTGACTAGGGGCAGCAGTGTGGTTGAAAGAAAGGCCAGGGTTCTTGTCTTGAAGCTTCATTGGTGTAGCACCCTCTACTGTGTATAACCCAGAAAATATTGTCAATTGCACATATCGAAGAATGGAGGTGGCTGATCCAGATTATGCAGGAGACTAAAAATCGTCACCAGAACACCCCCTGGGCCCCAATGCCTGACCCTGAAAAGTGAAATCTCCAATTATATGCTCAGCATGAGGCCAACTTCCAAGCATTAAAAAGCAATTCCTACATTGAAAGCGTTTACAAAACAGAGACACACATGTGGGACACACATGAAATGACCAAGGCAATGGTTCCTAAATTTTCAATTTATATCAAAATCCCTCTGAGAGCTTGTTAAAATGTACATGTCTTTGCTTTGGATGTTTGTAAGTGAAAATAATTGACCAGGCTTATCATCAAAGAAATATTATCTTTTGAGGGTGATGCCTCAGAACCTACATTTTGACAAGCCATTCTCCAGGTTTTAGGGGTGAATCATGACTACAGTGTGAGTTCTGTATATTTGAGAACTAAACCATTGGCACTATCTCCAAGGGGAAGAGGAAGGATAGGTTGCTGTCAACTGGAGTCACTGGAGAA